CAGAAGAAATAGACAATTGAATAATCAAAATGAATAATATAATAATACATAAATACAACACTTATTATCTACAACATTCATCAAACCAAAACAAGATATCAAATACATTTCATGGTAATAACAGCCCCACAAAAAAATAGTCATACTGATAATTAATATGACATCAATGATGTAGAAGATACAAAGTGGGGCTTCTACAGAAAAGACTCCAACATGTTACATGTACCGTCCTCACCTCGGTAGCCTGTGTGACCACATCTCCGGGGACACGCATGTCTGTGAGTTGTCTTAAGATGTTGTTCTGAAGTTCCTTGTTCTTCTGCCTACTGAAGGAAGTGCAGCCTCTCTCAGCCTCCAGCAGTAATACCCTACAAAAATCACAATTTATGCAGTTGACATGGTCAGTATTTACACATCCTAAACCTAACGTCATTGGTCTAATGTGACCTGAATTGAAGTTTCACAGTTCTGTGTTTTACGCAAATATCAATTTACAGACTCCAGTTCGGATCTATAAGTAAGATCTCTACTCTGAAATAGACATGAACCCACCTGGCCTGAATCAGACAAGCACAAGCAAGACACCTGTCTTTCTGATCTTCATCACATCCATCTGTGAGCTGGAAATCAAGCATTTTCTTTTCACAGGATAACAACTTCTCTTCTCTATCATGATTGTTTGCAATGTTATCAGTCATATTTGCCACAGTAGCATCAGTTTGGCTATTGGATGAAAGTGATGGTTTCAATGCGGTATTTCCTTTGTACTGCAGTACTGCTCTCTTCTGGTAGAGGTCACTGAGTTCTAACCAACAGTGTGCATTTTGTGGGTGCAAGGTGACCAGGTCTTGTTGAATCCTCATGTACTCTGAAACAAATAAACAATTACAATTTGGTAACTTCTTTCTGCTGACTGGGCCACATTCACATATAGAATCAATTCTTTTACCATCAATTCATACGCATACAAAGATTCTGTAATATTGATAGGAGTATAAAACGATTAAATTGCACCTCCAAATGGTTAATAAGTCTCACATTGTCTGTTTGAAGTTGCATAGCTTGAGAGGAGGGTCAAGTATCTAGTAGTAGTAGACTGGTTTATTTGAACTTAGTTGTTACATGAAAGCCTCCTGGCAGCCGTACTATTGGCAGCGGTACCATATCTAGGACATGTACTGTTGTGTACTAAGCCTATATGTATTAAACTAACTTTGTAACTCCATATAGATGTCTTTTGTCATTCTCATAACTGTGTTTTAACTTTCTGGCACAGAGAAATTGTACATCTTGTCAACTGTGCATTTATTTATCAAACTAATATGTAAGGTTATACAAAATGTATATTCAATAATCTTGTAGTACATTAGATAACATGCACTGTGCAACTTCAGTTCCAGTCTACTATGACCATACAGTTGCCATACCTTGTACATTCCCCATCTGTTTATAGACATCTCTAAGTAGACTCCACACGACTGTCTGTTGGTCAGGATTGTTGGGGTTGACCAATTTATTCTGTGGATACAGAAAAATGATTACAGATAATGTTTCATCTCTCATGCTAAAAAATGCGTAGTCAGTCTCTAGTGACAAACAAGGCTCTCCCTGCCTTGTCCCTGGTGCTGAACACCTTTCACCCTGTCTTATTCCTTTCTCATCCACTCTACCCACTACTTTCCATACTAGTACCAGTTGGTGCTTTGCCATGTCCTTGGTGCTGAATACCATTCTGTGTTGTTTTTATTCATGTTTTTGTATTAGATACTTAAAACACACAAGCTTGCTTTCTTTCAGCACAGTAAGATATCTTCTTTCCTGCAAAATATTTCCTGCAGATTCTTGTCATAGATACCAAACCTCGTGTGTTTTCCAAACCCGTTCAAAATCCACTGTCACGTGTGCATAACCCCGGCCCCAAGCTCACCATATCTAAAGCAATGTCCAAAGCAGCGTCAGGGTCCCCCAGGTTGAGATTACACCTTGCTATAGCCTCCTCCACATCCCTCCTGACAGTGGCATTACTTGGTGGAATAGAACCAAGCATGTCTGTATAAATGTCCCTGGCCCTGCTGTAGTCCTTCTGGTAGTACAGCTGGTCAGCAGAAAACTTCAGCACATCCAGTCTGTCCACATCAGCCTTCTGGTGTAGTGACACGTCCTGTGTGAACCACTGGGGAAATAGGTACAGTAGAGCAATGTTACAGTTTTAAGTTTATTTAAAGCTTAAGGAACAAACAACAAAGAGATTTCTGACTTCTGGAATTCCGGGAAGTATTTTGTGTTTTTGTGAACTGTGGAGAGGGTTGTACGATGTGTTAATCATTACACCAGGCATTACATCACTTCCAAAATGATATGTGCTGGACCACCTTCTTCCTCATGTATCAATCATCTATCAAAATGCAAAATCCCCTCCCACCCAAGCAACAATAATAGGACTGAGAGACAAACCCATAATGACCCCGCCATAGATTTCTAATATTTGTTAGTTTAATAATGTTGTTGTTAATGGCATTGTTGAACAATTAGATGTTGGGAATTCATTAAATTTGACACAAAGTTTGGCTAGCTTGAACGTTGGGGGCTCCAAGAGGGATGCAGCATGATGCACATAATTTTGCGAATTTTGGATGCGGATTGTCCAACAAGTTGTGCTCATCGACACTTACTCCTTCCTCGCATATCTTGGCGTTGTACGACACAAGTCTACGACTTTCTCTCACATTTCCACCGCAGAACAACGAGTCGTCAAAAGACAAACCACCGAAGTCCTCCATGTCTTAGACTCAGAAGACCTAACGCTAGATCTGGGTCACAGGGTAAAGGTTGATGGTCGCGTCTATTCAGTTATGGGGGTACCAATAAATTAAATCAATAAACAAATGTACACTAACAGTGTAACGTTGCAGATTTAGACTAGATTTATATTGCATGTAGTCGAGTGTTAATTCCCTGTTCAGTTTCTTTATCAGTCGTGATTTCTTTTTAATCGCTGTTACATGTTTTAAAAGAAGGAAATTATTTAATACCCCTTCCATGTGGTTTAGTATATTCCGGAAATGAACAGTGTGCAGGTGAAGATCACATGTTTCATAATCCCTGCGCCACACTTCAGCTTCAGATAGGTCCGTGTGCCAGGTAACGTACGTTAACCGCGAAGTACGTAAGGTAAGTCTTTACATGGTTCGGAAATAGTGGTTTGTGCCATTCATCATTGCTTGCAAGTTGCAGTCTTTTACATTAGCCCTATAAACAACATGTTGTTAGGGCTAATGTAAAAGACTGCAAGTAAGAGAAGCCCTGCAACAGTCGCCGCGGCTAACATCTACTCTATACTATACTATAACCCGCAACAAAATCCAGGCCAATCACTCCAAAAACGGCAAGTAATTTCGGCCTTCTTTTTTGGGGCTGAAAACTCATCAAGATATCTCTGCTGTTATAGGAGATAGGATGAGTGCATTCGATATTGGTTAATCATTAAAGGGCAGGGGCCTACTAGTAAATATACAAAAGTCACGCCTTCCTTTCTCAGCGCTGGAACACTACAGCGGAAGTGGTCGTCACCACTAGACTTTCAGTGCTGACTGTGCCTTGAGGCAGCGTCTGTCAGCACTGTGTGTGCTGACCCGTAGTCTTACTTAGTAGTGAGAAGATAACCAGCCACGTAATATTTCAGGAGTGGGCTATCATCCACCACGGTACCCACTCCGGATCAGCTGCCAAGCCTGTTTCAGGAAAATGAATTAAAAAATAATCACAAAGATGCAGTTTTATTTTCTTGTAATAAAGTCGGCCATGGCTTGATTTTAGTTTATATTACTTTTATCTATTTTAGAAGTACGCTCAGTTTACATCCAGGAGGACAATGGCAGTGTCGGATGTGTTTGCCTGGCTGCGGAAGTACCTGACAGTAGAGCCAGTGATGCTGTTATACATGACTGGTGC